CGCCTTATTTGCATTTATAACCACGTTCAATTAAATATCTATAATTCGAATTTCAATCATTTACAGTTACTCAATTTTCTTCGTAGTTTTACCTACTTAATTGTAATTTTATTAAGATTTATTCTGTTTCTTGATATCGTTGTACGATTTAATTTTTGTTATATTCGAATCCTGAATTTATTAAAGTGTAAATACTTAATGGAAATGAAATAATTAAACATCCTTTATTATAAAAATTTTTCAATTAATATGTGTTCGTCTGATTCACAAAGAAATATGCAAGATTTGAATAGTTGTGGAAGACGGTATATTAGTAATTATTTTTTCAATGAATATTGTTGAAACTATTTAAAATACATTTTGTTATAGAGATAGTACGATTTACATTTAAAATTGTGACATTTAAAAAATAGCAGAATAAGAAGAATTTTAGATAATATTAATTTTATAAAAAAAATAAATATGCAAATACCTCAACGCGTGTAATTGATAATACGAAAAAAATTGAGTCAGATTATTTTTAATAAATTACGAATGTAGAAATAATAGTCATTTCGGAATACCTGACTCGATTAATTTTTTTTAATTTTTTCTTCAGTCATCTGAATGCTAAATAATTTTATTACTAAGAAATCGCAGGTTTTTATAGGTAAATAAAAAGTCTCAATTCCAATTAACATTATTTAATAGCTTATTTATTACTTTATTATTAGTTATGGTCTCATATAGAAATGTAATAAAGTAAAAGTATATAAGAAATAGAGCGAGGTGCATTAAAAATGAAAATTTCTCAAAGTTTTACATCCGTTGTTAATGTTGCATTATCTACAATTAGTGCAATACAAGATCCAAACAAAATGCATATTATTGTTATTGGAAAATGCTTTTATGAAGTGGGTATTGCGAAATACACATTTGATTAAACTGCGATTTCATTCGATATTAGAGAATTATCCATCCATAACCATATGAAAAAATGTAAATAGTTATTACAATCTTCGCATCCAAAGGATAATATCACGCCTTCGGCAAGAAATGCACTCTTCCAACATTTACAAAGCACATTCACTTCAAGAAAGCATGACCGATTGACTTTAAATTTTGTGTAGGCAATTCTATTCAGCAACAGTACCGTCTTGGCTGCACATAAAAGCTTGATATGCATTTAGAATTTAATGGAATGACATTAAAATATACGATTCTCTGCAATTTTTCGCCTTTGAATAATTTGAATTCGCTGACAAATGTGTTTAAAATAATCATGGTAAAAAAGAGATAAAGGTTCGATCTAGTGAAATACTTTGAATTCCGAAAGTGAGGAGAATTTATGAGTCTTCCTTGCATCGATCCGGAAAAATATTTTATTTGTATTTCTTGCAAACAAAAATAGCTCAAACATTTTCTAATGCAGCAGCTGTTTCGTAAAATCCATCCCAATCAGAAACTCGCCTTGGTTTTATTTGAAAATTTTCTGTTTCCGTTTCGAAAATACTGTTGATACCTAAAATAAAAAATAAATTAATCAGTAAACGAATAATTAGTTGATAAATTTTAGTTAGTATATAAAAGACAAACGTTTAAATCTTCTTATAGTATTTGTAATTTTGAATTTATTAGGATTATTTATTTTTAACATTAATGCATCACTAGAAACACGAACATTCCGGTAAATTATTCACTTTTATCTTTGAGTTCTAATAATAAATAAAGGTTGGAATTATTTGGTAACTTGTTAAAAGTTAAAATATGTGTCTCAATGTGTATCTAATAAATTTGAGTATATGTATAACAGTTTTTAACAGGAAAAAATTTTATTTTATACATAGGATTTAGTAATTTAATTGAAGAATAAACTATATATAAAATAATTGATCAAATTTAAAGAGATGCATTTAAAACATACACACATAATTGAATTAATCGCCGATAAATTAACGTCGACATTCAGTATGTATAATAAAATAAAGCCGGCAGCTTTTCGCAGGAAATCAATCCTATAATCCACCATTTAATTACCTCGCAGGGATTAATTTTAAAACCCGAGAGCTGGAATGATCTACAAACTATCAATTACAGCAATCTTTATATCTAGATGGCAGAAGTAGGTACATAAATCAGTTTGAATTCGCTCAAGAACTGTTAATTGAAAAGCTTCAATCGACAGCTCTCGTGGGATAAACTCATGCAAACCTCATGCAAGTGGAGTTCCTGCTAGGGATTAGAAATTAGCTTTGAGGTAAAGAACGGACCGCTTTCGCTACTAAGGTGTTTTCAGAATGCTCACAGCATATGAAAACGACCCACTATAATTTAAAAATAATATGTAATTAGATGTAGCCTTAAGTGCAACAAACCAGGTCCGTCCTAAGATATACACGGCCTATTTTCACGAAATTTATATTCTCTTATATCCAATATATTGTCTATATATTTTATTATCTTAAATTAGTTTCCGAATTTCTTTATCTTACGTTATGACAATTTAAAAACGTACAAAATTGCTATATCTCCCAAACGACCAAACGAAACGTGCATTTACTCCAATCAACCCTCTAGGCCCCACGTACACCAACTGTAGAAATTTAAATTGTACAGGGTCAATCAATAATTTTGAAACGTTGACGTAGACGAAGATATGTTACACATCCAACAAGCTGGAACACCTCCTCACTATGCAGCTGCAGTTAGGAACTGGTTGGATACTAATTATCCGAAGAAATGGATTGGAAGGAGAGGTCCTATTGAGTGGCCACCGAGATCACCAGACTTGACGACACCTGATTTTTTTCTATGGGGTTACCTAAAGTCAAAAAATTTTGCTTTTAAGGAAAGATTTCACAATCTGGTGGTTGGAAGGGCATAGGCGGTTGATGAGGGTGAATTCTTTTTTATTGAATGTCTTTAGTTCATGCCTTCTTCATATCCTAGAAACGGTTTTAGGCATTTTTTGATATCAAGTTTCGTTTGGGAGATAAAGCCATTGTATGTTTTTAAATTGTCATACTGTATAGTGTTTGCCAACAGAATTTATTGTCAGTCACTGATGTTCATTAATTTCATAACACAACAAATGCTCGACGGGAGCCCCCGAGCTAAAGCCTCGCGTTCAGTCGAGCACACTACATTAAGCGACTTTTTAATAACGAGAATTGATAATAACAAAAAAAAATACGAGCTCCGCTTGCAATTATTAGGGCTTTTAGAATTATTGTGTGGTATTAATGTTCGCTGTACTTGTGCTAACTGCTGCAGAGCTTTAATGTTACCGGGGTTTCGAATTTCCACTCAATTCACTGGAAATATTGTTAAGTGAATAATAACATTGTTAATATGTGAAATTGACCTCAATGTTGGATTATTTGGAAGCACGAAATCAATGGGATTCATTGTAATGGAGCAAACTTTGATGCCATTGTATTTTTATCGAAAACTTAATTATTGATTTGTTTGGTAACGAAAGTTAAATGTCATCTTTTAAAATTAAATTTAGTTGTGGCAATGGATCTCTGTTGGAAATGAGTCTGTACAGCTGCATGACCTGTATTTTTTTACGAAAGGCGCTTTCAGCTCATTTTATATCTTCTTTTGATCGCATTTTTGTTGCACGTTTACAACAAACGTGGAACGAAGCAACAAGACCAAACGGCTAATTAAAAAAAGTATTGTGATACTGTTAGATTGTATCGTTTTCTTAAGGAGGTGTAAACTCAGCCACGAGCGATTTCTTTAAAAAATTTTACAAGGTGACCAGTAGCCGCAAAAATCAGCTAAGCTTGACTGACTACTGTTGCACGAACGACTATTATTGGATATTGCTATATAGACTTCAACAATATATTTCTTCATGTTACTATTGCTCTTTATCTAGTCACAATTTTGAAACTACTAATACAGTTAGTAGAAATGTATCCAACAATTTCTAATACATCTATTAATAATTGTTATTAAAGTTAATTAACGTGTAAAAATGTTGTGAGAGCTATTATAGGAAATTTTTCTTGTACCATACTATACTGTTAATTCGTATTGCTTCATATTATGATTATGTATCAGAGGAGAATGATCTAGCCAACCCATGTTTTGTGAGAATATTCTGTTAATTCGTTTTACGTAGGTGTTATTAAAAATATTGTTGTTAAGGAGAGGTTTGTGTCTTGTATAGTTATAATGTAAAATACGTGTATGCTGCAGAAAGTTCATTGCAATCAGTGGGTGCGTAAAATACGATTATACACATATGAAACAGGTCCGAAATTTACACAAGGACTTGCTGTATTTATTGATGTATATTGCTTTACAAAGTTCGTTTAAAATTAACTACCCAATTAGATGCTAAAATTATCGAAATGATACATCCTTTTCAACAGATATTCATCATTAATATCAATTTAGATCCGACCAGCGTATTATGTCTTTGATATAGTATAATATAAAAAAAAACTTGTAAATTAACACAGCTATTCAGTTTAAATTGGACTCTATTTAGGAGTGATTAATATTATATTAATTTCTGGTATTGAATCATCTCTGCAGTTCGGTTCTGTTAAGGTACTTATTGCCACAGAGAAATAAATTGGTTTCCGCCCAGGTTTAATGTGAACCTTTACAAATTTCTCTGATTCCTCGTGTAGGAGAAAGGAAAATTAGAATGAGAATTTGTTACTAATTACTTATCAAACAGTACATGTTATGCATTGTGTGGTTGCGTCATAGTTTGAATTAAAAAATGATTGATAGAATTCTTAAATTTTCGCAAATTTACCTATACATATTACATTTAATTATTTTATCAAAATGATTGACTTTGGGAAATAATTAAAATATTCGCATACGCAATTTACGTGATGTAAAATGTGATCGTTGAGAAATTAGTAATCGCGGTAATAAATTGCTCCTTTTTACATAAATAATTAAAATTTGCTAAAAATGAACATTAATTCTATAACCGTTTTGAATAATTGTTATATATTGAATTTAATAGTTCGATATTTTTGTTCTAGAATGCCATTGGACATAAACCAAACGGGATGACGAAGACTCCTAATTTTGTTCCCGATGAAAAAAAAATCAACTTGGACTTTATCAACTGCAATCTCCCTGAGGATACCTCGCACTACACCATATCCGACAAGAAATCTCCTAAATTAGCAACGTACTATTTCAAACACGAAGAAACTGAAAACAATATGGAAAATGATATTAATCACACAGAAACACTTTCTCTAGACAATCAAACCGACGACCAGGAAAAAAACCAACAAGCTAAAGATCATGCCGAAGAAATCGATGCTCAGAAACAGAATGTCAATCCTATTCTTCGACCGTTTGGAAACAGCAGAAGGTACTCTTTTGATTTATAAAATTATTTTCATACAACAAAATAGTATATTCTTTAGTTTAATCATCTAATAGTAGGTAGCTACTTGAATATTCCTTAACCATTTATCATAAAAATGATATTTTCAATTGGTACACCCTGTATATAAAATAATTAGCAAAGAAATCAATTCACCTTTTCAGCGCTAGACCCAAATCGTTATCAGACGACAGGATTAGAATTCTAGTCCAGCAAGCGGAGGAATTGGTGAGCGACAAGCGGCACATTGGCAAATTATCGAAAGTGAACAAATGGCTGAAGCTCGAAAAGCCCGACGACAGCTGCGACGCCAGCGGCGAGGACGACGAAAAAGAATCTCAAGCTTCCGATGATCTGGACACCAGCAGCGCGACGTTGCGCGGCACGGACAATTCGACCTCCCAAAACTCCATTCAAGATCTCGATTTGCACTTGAACGGAAAGAAATGGCTCAGTTCCGGTTCGAGGCTCAATCGTACCAGCACCGGGTACGATTTATCGAATTATCTCTATATTTACGTATTTACTTACGTGCGTTGTTTTTCAGTATGAATAACTTTTCGATATCGGAGTCGGCGCTGCACCAAATGATTCTGCCGCTCAAAGGATTTCCTGCATCGTTTTCCGCCGTTAGCAGCAACAACATCAACGTTAATTCCAATAATTCGACTTCCTCGACCGTCGAAGAGGTATTACCGCTAATAGCTGAAAAGATATCTCCGGTCAGAAAAAAGAAATCGAAGTTGAAGAAAAGACCGTTGGTCGGCAAATCCGATACTCATCTGTTATATAATGGAGGCTGCAAGAACAGGAGCCATCTCATCAAGTCTGGTTCATTTCCTGGTTACAGTACAAAAACTACTAATGGCAATACAAACGTCGAGCAGGAGACTTTTACCGGTCACACTTACTACGCGGGCCACAGTGAGACCTCCACTACGAGTGGCGGAGATAGCGAGGAAGATATCCACAAAAGGTAAATTGCACTCGTTATAATTATCTACTATCTATTTATTTTGCTATATATTACAGTCGACCTGCTAATTTCAAATACGGAGGAAGGACTCGTTATCTTCATCATGAAGCTTCGCGAGACAACAAATTTGGTAAGAACGTCATACCCACCGAGGAGCAATCCAGCTCTCTATCAGAACAAGCATGGGACAACTACCAAGTAAATAAACCCAAACTTTCAAGTTACCGTTAATAAATACACGAATCGTTTTTCAGGAGAACTATCTTTCCGAACCGTACAGCGAATCCCACGACTCCGACGCGGCCAGGAGGCTCCTGAATTTCGGCGAGGACTACAGGAAGTTCATCGACAGCCAGTCGGACTGGTCGGCGTTCTCCGACATATCGCCGCGCATGAAGAGGAAATCCTGGCCGCAGCCGAACGACGAAGACTCCAACAGCGACGAGGAGTCTTTGAAGCAGCTGATCAACGACTCGAGAGACCAGCTGCGCTACGCCGAAGACGTCTACGAGCAGCTCAAGCTCGGCGTGCACGAGCAGCTAGTTACCAGCGAAATCGTAAGTTTACAAATGCCCATAAGCTGCTTTCAAAGGTCTCTGAGCTCTAGGTACTATTCAATCCAAATCCATGTCATTTGGTATGATCTCGTTGTATATGTTAAGGGTTTGGTTTCTTGGGGTTTCTTGAGGTTTTTTTGTTTTTTTTTGAGTTTTTTGAATTTCTTGTGTTCCCGTTATGCCGTGAGAAACCCACACTATTTGTCCCTACCCTACCCTCTCTTTCGCATTTTACCCAGAATTTGCGAAATGCCTAAGAAACATGAGTAGGGTAAGCTAGGGTAGGGTAGGATAGGTTTTTTGGGTTTTTTGGGTTTCCGTTATGCCATGAGAAGCCCACATTATCCGACCCTATCCTGCCCAAGAAACATGGGTTAGGGTAAGCTAGGGTGGGGTAGGGTAGGGAAGGTTTTTTGTGGGTTTCTTGGGTTCCCGTTATACCATGAGAAACCCACAATATCTGAACCTACCCTCCCTGCATTTCGCATTTTACCCAGGACTTGCGAAATACCTAAGAAACATGAGTAGGGTAAGCTAGTTTAGGATGGGGTAGGGTAGGTTTTTTGTGGGTTTCTTGGGTTCTCGTTATACCATGAGAAACCCACACTATCTGACCCTACCCACATTTCGCACTTTACCCGGGTAAACCTAGGTTTAATCGTTTATCTAACTTTACTGTAACATATTACACATCAAATATTTACCGTGTTGGTTATTTTCTTGAATTATCAGCATTTCTATTAAACGAAAATGAGTCATATACTTATCTTGTTTATAAACGCAACGCTTAATTTTATTCTTAGGCATAAACGTGATATTTATACTTTCATATTTACATTATTACATCGGTTGCGTATCTATTTATTTGTTTTAAACATAGATTTCGTTGATGGTAGTTTTAATTTGCATCGTTAATAAGTTGAACGCTTTCCAACGGACGGATTTTCGCGAAGGCGAATCCAAATCAACCTTGGGCAAATAAAATTACGTTTAAAATGTGATATAACAGTTACCGAAACGGTTGTGCGGCAGGGCATAAATGCGCGAAATGGAATCGTAGAAAGTTTATGTTTATACACGTTTGTATTGTATTCGTAAAAATTGATAATGGGGATTGACCCGACTGACCGGTGTTTCTCTTAGTTTTCTCTTATTGCGGCTCAAATCAGGTGAGATTTAGATACGGTACGTTTAATAATCTCGGCGCGCGATCGCAATCAATTCCAATCCGGTTAATTACTGCATTAATCGCCTCGAATGCATTATTAAAGGAAGTGGAGTGCGCATCTTAACATCGCTCGAATATTATTAACACGTAAATAGCGAATGTATTTTTTTTATTTTTAGGACGACTTGATAACGACATGTGAACGACACATAGCTTTGTTAAAGCACATCAACGAATCATCTTACGAGTACAAGATGTCTTTCGTCGACAAAGCCGTTACGGCAGGTAATGCACCGGTTGTAAAATTGAAGAAAAAAAAAATAACTGTCGCAATTCGCGATTCCGCGCTTTGTTTCTAGATTTGCTAGACCAATGGAGGGTTCTGAAAAGCCGGAGCTCGTACATGGACGAGTACAGGCGTTTGCGTAAACAAATATCGGACTTGAAGTCGTTCATCGAATTGCAGAATATTTCCGAGAGGAAACTCCATTCGCCGCAGCCCTGCGGTATCGACGATATTTACAATGAGATCGATAATTGCAATGTAAGTGCCCGATATTATTTTTTTATAACTGGCAACACCGCCCGGTCGGAAGCTTCGCGACGAATTCAACATTAACGATATCATTGCATGACTGGAAAAAAAATGTCGTTAATTTGTGGTTCGCGTTTGTGGAATTTACTTAATTCGGAGTGTATTGAATTAATTATTCGTAAAATTAATTGAAAGTTTATTTTAAAAAAGCAGCGCCATCTAGTAATATGTCAAGATAGTTATGACAAGGGGAAAGTAGTGTTCTGTGCATGGTACAACACTCTGTAGTGTAGTTGCCTTGATAAAGCAGTGTTAATACGGTGTAGAACTAGATGGCGCTGATTACAAAAATTTGCAAAAAATGTTTTATTTTCGTTTTCAATATATTTCTTAAATAAATACATTAGGAGCTGTATTTTTTTGCAAAGAAAGCTAAGAAAATAGTTTTTTTATTGTAAATTAAAATAATATATGACAGTTATGTCAAAGAATTTATTTTCAAGAAATTTCAAGATGTCAAGTGTTCAATTTTATTGTTCATTTTAAAGATCTTCCATCTTCAGGTTATTGCAGAACACTATTTGCTTAGAAATGCAGTGTTTTATTGGTAAAAAAAATCGTCTTGAATCATTTTTAATGAATGGAAAATGTCTGGCCATGTATCGTACAAGTACCAAAATTAATAATCAATTAATCAAGAAGAATTTACATGACCATTATAAAACTTTTGTAAAAAAATAGGCATTTTTGAAAAAGTGTTTTAGACAAAAGTACCCAAAAATTTTACGTAGATTTCGAAAATAAATTAATATACAGGGTGTTCCATTTGAAATAACAAAGTTGATACCTACTTCAAGTACAACTGGAAGTGGTACGACTGTCAAAATAATTCTAAGTAGTTTGTCTTATTGCATAACATATGTGTACCAAATTTTATTGAAATGGGATGAGTAGTTTCCAATATACAGTTAGTTTAATCTCGTCGTGATACACCCTGTATAATATTAGTAAAATCGTTTTCGTTTGCTTAATGAGACTAGTTTTATTTACGTTTAAATAAATATGTAGTGGTACATTCCCAATACTCGGTAAATTGAATTAACAGCAAGTTTATTTTTTTTTGCTTAATAAAGGGACAATTTTCAAAATCTTGCTGTTATACTTTGTAATAAATACATACTTTGTATAAAATAAATTTGGGTAGACCGCATACTAAACCAGATGCGTAGGGTAGACCGGCACCGAATATTCTATTCTTCTCTTCAATTCACTATTTTCCTTATACATACTTAAACTACATCTTAAGGCTAGAGTTCAGTACTCTGAAAATAGGCGTAAAATGCCCGATTCGCCGAGACGTTTTCAGGGTGTATTATGAAATATGAAAGGGGTCGCACTCTACATATCATCTACCCGTTTAGTTGTAATGCGCGACGAAGCCCTTTTTTTGAAAATGCTTTTGTTTTCGCTTAATTAATGAAAATGTTGAAATCCTATAATCCATATTCAGGCTACATTTTTAACTTTTTGTATGCAATTTTTGTACCAATGGAAAGAGCTGACTCTTTTCGAATGCGCGACGAAGCCCTTTTTTTGATTTTCCTTGTCATTTGTTAATAATTAGGTTGAATGTGTTTAAAAATTCATCGTTTCAGAACACTAAATTATCAGTTTTAGGCAACTTGTTATACAGTCCGAGAATGATTTATGAGGGGTTGGTTTCGTCTTCAATTTTACGACCCAAATCCGATAATCCGATTACCTACAGTTAAGATGTTAAATTTTAAAATTGCAAATATTGAATTTAGTGTTGCTACATACTTGATTTTTTATTCTACTTTTATTTTTCCTCAAGAATTTTTTAAAATATTGTCCGGTTACTAAATTTGATTTGACTAAATTTGACTAAGTATAGGAAGTACTTAGTTATTTTTAAAAAATTATTTATGTCAAGCTCTTTTTGACTGTTGGTACTATTAAATGATTTTGTAACACCACATATGTTATATTAACAAGTAATTGTACTCTTTACTCCAAACCCCTTTCATTGAATATGTCGACATTAGATACATCGTAACTAAATAAACCATTTTTAACCAAGTTATCAATACAATATCACAATTTTGATACAAAGGACACACGTGGAAATTTAAAAATAACACACAAATTGAATATTCGGATATAGACAACACGAAGACAATGAAGTCACAATTTATCAATAGTCAAAATTCGGAACTGAGTGAATCTATATCGATCAAAACGGTAGGGGTAAAAAGAAAAACGTTGTTTTTATTGATTCCCTTCGATTGTTGATCGATATGCGAGATGGATTGAAATGGATAATTTCAATCGGAGAGGTCGAGTTGTCACCCGAATTCTAACCGGTCAGTTCTTATGAGTCGAGTTGTCACCCGATAGGGGTTTTTTATTATTTAGATAGATACATTAAATATTTTTTGAACTTTACATAAATATTTTATAAGATCAATATGATTCTGAAAATATTAAAATTTAAATAAACTCAAATTTCCTTATACTTACATGTATGTAGAATTTATTTAATGAACAAACGCAAACCCAAATTTGAAAATTTAAACGAACATTTAAAAATTTATGTACATTAGGGTGGCCCGTATAAAACGATTGATTACTTGTCGCATGAAATGATTATTCACATGCATTTGTGGTTCGTATTAAGGACGAAGAATGTTCGACCCATACTTGAGAAGGAAATTTTGAATTGCTGTCAATGTACGTTTCCACTAAATAATTACAAAATTTTGTAACTTTATTGCAATTTGGTTTTATCTCTAAAAGTTCCAATGCAAAACATCCACCAACTATTTCTAACCGAAAATCAAAAAACCCACGATTATTAAGCAATTAGACCCTTATAATCTGCATCGAACGGATAACAATAGACGGGTGACAACTCGGACATGACCTTTTTTCGCACAGGTAAAATTTTGAAATTTGGGTGACAACTCGGACCTGTCCGATATGCAGAACAATCGAACCTAATAATGTACTAATGATTGTAGTAGGTAGACAATAATTTTTAAAGTTTTACCAAACCGTTTTTCAATGTTTTTACTTCTCTAATACTAATATCGTAAGAAATAGCGTTTTTAACTTGTCACAGTACGAGTTAATTCGAAAACAACTGAACAACTTATGCAATTCTGTGCATGAAAATTTGCAAACAGTTGTCCAGAATTCCGATAAACTGAAGCAAAATATTAGACACTAACTTCTTTATTTAAAATGAAATATCATATATATTTTTACATTTTTAGTGTCTCCATTATGAGCTGATTTCAATGATGTGTTACACTTGCTATTTATCGTCGATATTAAAGGATCTACAGCCATTTGAAATTATGTTTTTTGACTTTAGGCTGCCCCGCGAGTGGCCGTAACTCCTTTATTATCGATAATAAGTATTAAGTACGACCTATCGTTGGAATCGGCTCGTCTTTATGATTTTAAAAATGTAAACCATATACGAATTATTTAATTTAAAATAATTTGTCGTCATCGGCATTTCTAAATATTCGAAAATATATTTTCCTACAATATCGAAATTCGGATATTCTAAAATTCAAATTCTAATAAAAGAACCAACCCAACCGCTTATCTCAGTTTTACGACATACCCCGCTGTGAGCTTACTACCTGAAAATTTGCCGAAATAAAGTGACAGGTCTTGCTGTACAAGTTGCCTATTCCCGAAAAAATATTTTGCGAGTACTGAACTCTAGCCTTAAAAAGCTCCCTATTTTGAAATGAAATGATATAATAAACTAGCATACAGATCATGAGTTTGTGATAAAATGTTGGAACAAATTTAATATTTACTAATTAATGTTGATGGTCCGACATCCCGAAGGGCGGCGACCTTTCCTCTCTAATGCACCTGAATTAGTGAGAGTTCCCGAAGTTTGTCAATACTAAAATAAGGTTGCGGTTCGATCCGTCGGCAATAAAGTTGTGTAATGCCCATGCGAACGTCTCCGGTCAGAGATATAAAGATGACCATCTTGGAGCACTACTTGAACCTAAGGGCATTTGACTGTTCCTTGGGGACTGCTCTTTGCCCTACCGACGCTGCAGGAGTCTGCAACTTACTGACGGGAAAGCATCAAGTGAAAGACACTTGCATTTGGGATGTACGTTATTCGACCCAACGCAATTTGCGGGTTTTTTTCCGGTCGATAGTTGGCCCCGGCGTAAATTTTACTCAACATTTTTTTTTTATATTTTTTGCTATTTGATCCGCCTTTTTGCAGAAAATTCTGGACTCGCTCTCGCAGCAAAGCGGAAATCTCGCATCTATTAACGCTCTCGTTCATCGCTACACTCTTGACAATCAAGACTGCGAAGAATTCAACGGGACCGCTTTGAAAGGGGAGATTTCGGAACTGTACGAAATGTTCGACAATGCCCGCACATGGTAGATCAAATTAATTTTTTTCAACAAATTTGAAGTAACCGCATAATTTTTTAGTGTTACTGAGGAATTATCTCAGTTAAAGACTCTTTTACCAGTGTGGAGAATACTCGAATCGCGATTGGATCAGCTTCAAATCGACCTAAAAATGGACGAGAAACTGATGGAAACCATCGATTACTCTCTTACCAATGGAATGTTTACGGATCAAACCGTCGCTTCAGTTCGAGAAGTGGCCAAATTATTATCAGAAACCAACAATTCGGTGAGTTCATTTATGCATTATTATACAAAAAAATTCACAGTAGGTATTAACAAAAGCTTATAATTTTGCTAAAATTATTAGTAAGGGTTGATAATTTTTTTTCTATCGGAAAAGGGTAGGTTTAGCGCGTACCTGCCACATCAAAAAGAAAAGCATGATGGCCGAGTTGTGTGTGCGACGACGCACGAATGGGTTTTGACCAACAACGTACAAACGTAAAGCGTAATGCTGAGGCTGTTTCCGGATCGTTAATAGTGTTCCTTCTGGTTTCTGGTCACGTATCCAGAATGTTCTACGGAATCAGCGTAAAAATACAAATTTAATATCGGATCGTAGGAGGCTCTCACTTAGGCCTCGAGGTCAAGCATAGCCCGGAGACTACACGGGATATACCCGGATTATTACCGAAGATTTTCACCGGGACCTTCCCAAAGCAAATATTTATGCGCGCTCCCTTCCGTCATACCCTTTTTCTAATTCGCATTAATGCCGGCCCGGCAACATTCGCCGACTTTTTGCAGATCCGCCTCTAATTTAATCACGAGGAATTTAATAATCGAGTTAGTTAATTTTTAAGTCTCTAAATTGCACCAATTAGCTGAAAATCTACTACTCATATTTATGTGTTTTTTCCTATTTTAATTCTCTTGCTTGCTGGTTTCTCTGGAATTCCCAAGTTTATCCATATCTACCAATATTTTTCAATCAATAGGGTTCAGTTCGATGGAAAAACTAATTCCCAAGGAAGTTGTAAAAAGCAGATGGAATCGGTTTAGCTCTATTGCTCCATACATCTTAAAGGGCCGGCAAATTTTATATTTTTTACACAAAGTGAATCATTAAAACCTCGTCGAAATTATGATTATTAGAAGATATAAATTTCATTAGTCGCTTTGATGAGTGTTTTGCGCCGTATCGGGCGGCACATGCTCCGTGGCCGCATGATCACAATCACTAAGAAGAGATAGTAAACAGAAGAGAAACGGAAAAGAAGTTTTCCAGTTTTCTCTCTGAACCGAAAACTGAACTCCATCCACATTCTAAACTGCTTAGTATGCGACACGACACTTTTCATTACCGTAGCACAGCGTCGTCCACTCCATCCCGCCACCGTTACAGCTCAGTGTTGGATTTAGGTCGACTGATTTTGGAAATTAAATTCGAATCGCATTCGGTTTTTAACTAATACGAACCGAAATGCGACAATTACCTTTGAGTTCTCCTTTATTAAATAAATAATCCACTCGAATTGCATTGAAACACTCTACATACACGTTGTTGTATTACACTGAAACATCACTCAAATATCCCTTAAACAACCCGATATCATGATTAATCATATTCGCTTCTTTCATTCCCGTCCTCTTGTAATATTCGAGTTAACATCGAATCGCCCTGTATGCCTTTACTGGCGTTGAACGCTTCAAGTTGCTCGAAGATCGGACTGTAGACACGAAGACGTGGCTTCAGAAACGGCAATATCTCGACAGGGACGGATTGGAATGTTTTCAACGCGCTCTACAATTGGAGTATATTTCTTTCAGAGCGCCCATCACAACTCGGAGGTGGTTACTGAAGGGTCGTACTCGGACAGCGGGATATCCGACGAAGGATCCGAGCAAGAAATAGGCGAGAGGCAACGAAGACTAGCCGCTATAAGGAGGCTGGTGCGCCAGCTGGAGACCGGATTGTCTTCGGATTCGAGGGCGAGGTTGATGATGAGAGAAAAACTGAGAGCGACCGAAGACGAACTTAAAGCTTTGCAGTTGCGCTGCAGGTCGCTGATTTCTCGCACTTCAGCGTGCTCCGATCGCCTGAGGTAATTAAATTGCCGTCTGTTCGGGTTTTGTGCGCATCATTACGTTGTTGTTTCAGGCCGGCGTCGGAACAGGAGGTTTCGAAACCAGAGGATTCGAAGGTGAAAGTCGCATCCGGAGATCCAGACAGCGATCCAGGGAAGAGCCCGAAAGCGAAGTCCTGGTTCAAAAGGTTCTTCAAAGCGTCCGTAACGTTTCAGCTGGTCTTGCTGGCGTTCGTTTGCCTGAGTTGTATTTTGGAACCGAGCTGTTGCGACTACATGAATAACTATTCCTGGACTTTGACTCCCAAGCTTCACTATGAAGCTCGCCCGCCAATATAAAGAGTACTTAATAGGTGATTGCATGATTGTACAATGTATTACGTTTTATATTAAAATTTTTAATCATTTTCTCTACAAATATTATTCTCTCAGTGGTGTCCACTCATTTTTTACTAACTAATAAATTTATATGAATTTACAATATTTTGTAATTCTGGGAATATGTAAGATTAAGGTAAATGAATTTTGATACAAGTTTAAATTATACTCCGGTGCAAACTAAACGAATCGTCTGCAATTTTTGATAAAGTAAAAAATACAGATGAACCATTTAATTTATATCAGAGTGTATATTAGATATATTATTTTTATTACACATATTTTTAGTTTCTATGTTTTAGAACAGGTACCCATACAAACTGTGCAAAGTAAAATAAAAATATATTTTTTAGTCCGTTGTTTTAATTCATGATACCAAAAATTTCGTTGCCCCCATGCCAGGACGAACAAAAATATGGTAAAAAATGTATGTACACATACAACCACGGGCGGAGCAAAGAGGACACAAAAATAATCGTAAGAACCTATCTAGATATTGAGCATGCCGAGCAAGTACAGGAAATACGCTACTAAAATTTTTAAGTAAGAAGGATGAATGTATTATTTAGTACCTTCTATAGGGTCGGTTGTAGTTAAAGAAGCAGGGACGGCGTTTATTAAAAAAATATTCCATACCTACAAATTTATTAATATTTATGATACGACTTACACGGTGACAAAAAAGTACCCGGATATTTGGAATAAAACGCAAAATTCCTAATCTTTTTTAATTTTTCTTGAATTTCCTTCAAAATATGCTCCTTTTGAAGCGATAGGCATAGTCGGACGCCTTTTCCAATCATCGAAACATTTTTATAGGCCCTTTTTGGAACGGCTTTTAGCTTTTTCTGCGAATTTTCTTTAATGGTACTAATAGAGTTAAAGCGGGATCCCTGAAGTGGCAGTTTGAGTTTGGGAAACCAAAAGATTTCGTACGAGGCTATATCTGGTAAGTGAGGCGGCTGGTCGATGGTACTTCAAACGAACCAGCATCTGCATCGACCAAATGATTATCGTTTTTGAAGGAAACTCAGCTCTATCGGAACAAGCCAAACCTCAATTCGCAGCATGTCTAATGGATTGAACAAAATCAAAGGAGCGGTCTCACGAGAGATGTTGAAGTCAAGTGCTAATACTCTAATACTAGCATGATGATTTTCGAACTCAATTTCCTTCATTTTTTCGTCGTTATTATTGGTTGAAGAGGTCGAAGACCGTCAGAATAAGGCAAGTCTTTAGCGATCTCCCGACTGTCTTTAAAAGTTTTATATCGTTCATATGGGTTTTAACGATAAAACCCAAAATATGAGACAAACTCTTCGTTCATTACTTTTGTCCATTGAAACGCAGAGCACTACTGAGATGAACTGATTCAATCAGCTACTACAACCAAACCGATCTCTCTAAGTTTTTGCATGCTAATTAAGAACACTGTTACCTATACATACAGAAACTTGAAATTGTTAAAAATATTGAGTGCAGGTAATTTAAATCCGATTTTCCGGATAATTTTTTGTCAGAGGGTATTTAGTTTGTGTCCAATAATAACTCTTTCTCTTTACATTATTTAGTTTGAAAATTATTTATCCTAATACTAGTGCCTAGTTTTTTTATATTTTTTTACTACGCCCTTGTTCTAAACTAGACCTTAACTGGAATAGTTAACATAAAGCGGAAACACCCACAAATGTAATGGATAAACAAGGAACTATTATCTTGATGTGGACTAGACTCGTATAATGCCTATGGGGTTACAAATAAAACTTATAAAACATCGACCACAACGTGGTTGAATTTTCAATTCACTTGCCTTAAGTCACTAAACTTCTAGAATTACCTACCCCAACAACAAATCGTACTTACAGCAACGTTGAATAAAAACAAAAAAAAAACAACTAAAATAAAAGACCCGAAAACATAATAATAAAAAAACCCACTTTTTGAACGTAACTCCACACCTTCCGGTTTCAAATCGACTTGATTAATTCGAAATAACAAGTTCAAAGACAGCCAAGCCGGACATTTTATTATGGGAAAGCCTCGCTAACCATATGATAATTTATATTCTCCAGGTAGTCTTAACCAGCTACATGAATGAAAAGCTGTTGAAAGATGCGCCTCACGTGGTTGCAACCCGTTCAACGCAATCATCACGTACGCGGAATGGGCTGGTCTTTTTTCATCGTTTTCTATAAACTTTGCGTACGGTCACATCAGCTCGCAATGCAGGGGTAGTATCATAATGTAATATATTTTAATCTACATTAAGATTTATAAACTTTTGTACTATATTAATATTCACATCGGGAAGTAATGAGTATCTATCTGATTATGGGAAAATTACTAGAAGGTTCAAATTACTTGGAGGAATCTTTATGATGATCCTATTTAAAGGGCTTTTTAAAACTGGTTTTATTGGTTATCGAGAAATTATGAAACTTGTTGAAAATGAAGCAAATATTAGTAGATACTAACTTCAAAGTACCTACTAATAAAATTACACTGTATTTTGGTTTTAATAGTTTTTTAAGGGGTATAGAAATTTCTTTAGGAAATGGTGCAGGTATGCAAGTAATTTAATTTTGATTGGCAGTACGTAAAGTAAGAGGACAATGCGTGGAATGGTATTCAGGATCGTTTATCTGATCCGGAATCGAACTCGACCCCATCCCCTTTTCCTGTACGGCCGAATAAAATAGGAAAAGTAGGGCAGGAGGGTGAAAGATAAATGAGCAACCGATATGTGATGCACAAAGTAATTATTATTTAATGTAGATATAAAAGTAGGAGTAACAGAAGAATGTGAAGATTCCCAAGATGATAGATTTTTGTGTAAAAATTAATAATTAATTTATGTTAGGAAATACAAGTATTTTACAAGTAACGAATTGAAATTTGCAGGAAAATATACTGTTCCACAAAAGTTAAGGAAGTTCCAAATATTGAGATTAATTTAAAAGTTGCAGGTTTTTTGATCGCCAAATTCAGTATGAGTTGTAGAGGTAGGGACAAAAAATCCACTCAGATATGAGATAAAACATTTAATTTCGCATATTTGAAAATTTGGTGATCAAAAAGTCTGTAACTTTTAAAATAATCGCAAATTTTGCGAACTTCCTTAACTTTTGTGGAGCAGTTTATATAAAAAATTGAATATGCTGCATTAATCATCAGCACTCTCAAGGATTTAATGTTAAAAAATATTTGGTTTTAGTTTAAAACATTTAAAACGATTCAGCGATAAAAGCTTAATAGTTTTTGAAATGTCGAACTGTGGCAAGACAGAAAAGACTATTTTTGAAATTACGTATACCTAATATCCATCCACCATTTTTTAAAAATACTACTGTGGGCAAAAAGTATCGGGAAATTTGAATTAAAATTTTTATCTGATTTCGTTGGGACAATTTATTTTTATTTTTGGGTTGGCAATACTATCACTAATATCTATGCCAAATTAAACGTGAAAACATTAATTAGTTTCTGAGATACGCATCCTTTTGTAAACAGCTACAACTGAATTTTTCGTTTTTCATAATGTCTGAAACTATTCAACAACGCAGCTCCATTAAATTTTGTGTCCGGAATGAAATTTCTGTTGCCTAAACATTGAGAATGTTGCAGAAGGCCTTCGGTGAGAAAGTTTTATCGAAAATAAGAGTTTACGATTGGTACAAAAAGTTCAAAGAGGGTAGAGACAAGGTTCGGCCAGGACGACCAGTAACATCAACTGATCAGCTTCACGTTAACAAAATTAAAGAATTAGTCCTCCAAAATCGTCGATTGACAGTCAGAGACCTTACTGACCGTGTTGGAATATCGGAAGGCTCGGTAAAGACCATTTTGAGTAACCATTTGGATCTCAGAAAAGTGAAATCTCGTTTGGTGCCAAAATCGCTCAATTTCATGGAAAAACAGCGCCGCGTTGAAATTTGTGAAACAATGCTTTCCGACTAAGAAGACAAAATGAAACGCATCATAACTGGAGATGAGACTTCTGGCTATTCGCTAAACTCAAGAAACCGCTCCGTGGACGCCGTTTTGAATCGATAGAAGAAATAAAAACCGAAACGAAGAAAAAATTGAAGCCTATACCTGAAAAGCACTTTACAGCCAGTTTTGAAAATTGGAAGAAACGTTGGCGCAGGTGCATTGCATCCAGGGGGGACTACTTTGAGGGGGACGAAATGAATTTAGATGAATAAATAATTTTTTTGCTATTTTTAAACAAATTCCCGATACTTTTTGCCCACAGTAGTATGCAGGAATTATTGCCTCCACCAATTTTAATGATAGATATTCCGCAATTCTAAAATGAAATTTTTAATGCATGTAGGTACTTCTAATTAACACCAAATAATGTTTAGAAACACTAAAGTATTAAAAAAATGTATAGGTACTTATTAAATATATTAATATTTCGGAGTAATTTAAAATTTGTATAACAAATTGGTGACTATGCGAAAGGTTCCTAACGATAATCCAGTTAGCCATTACCGAATTATGATTGCAAATCGCTTAGATAGCATCAACAATTCCGAAAGTGAACTTTACGTTTTAAACGACTGCGACAGCGGCGGCGGCGGCGGCGGCGGCGGCGGCGGTTCTCGCTTCAGGTGCGGCAACCGATACCTCCAGCTCGAGCGTTCGAAACACGCCTCGAGTGGGAGTCCCGCACATAGGCGGGCTCCGAGACCGTCGGACGGCCGTACGGGAGACGGCCACACGATCACGTGACGCTTTGGACACGCACGCAGCCCGCCCTCGCTAACTCCTTCAGTTATTCATAACAGCACACTGAACACCAGCGACCGCTCTCTCGAAAATCACCGAAACAACCGGGAGATATCAGTGAGTAGGACTCGCTGGTAGCACGGCAGGCAGCTTCTTCGGTTTGTTGCATCTTGACTCTTTGGCCACGGCGATACATCATCGATGTTGGTCGCGAGACCTCGGTGTGTAAACCGCATACGGTAGCGTCTACCGACGGACGCTTCGATTCGACTCGATTCGATTCGATTCGATTCGATTCGAATTCGATTCGAATTTCACTCACGCGGTTTTCCTTTTTTTTCCGTTTTTCATCGCTCATTTTCATTTAACCGAATGATCTGAGAGTGCCGCGTGCGGCGCGTAGACCGAGTGCGGTGAGTGCATATTCTGTATGCACTTCAGTGTGACTGTGCGTAGGTGCACCTCCGAGCTGGAGCACCCAGGAGGTTTCCCTTCATCGCCCTGGGCGGCTGTACTGGGGCACCAACACACCGCCGCTGCTGCCGTAGCGGCGGCAGCAGCCACCAGCATGATGCAAACTAGGGACCATCACTCGTACGCCACCCATCATCCTGCTACTCCCATTGACTTGCACGTACCGCAGGCTTTTCCCTACTACCGGTGAGTTTCGATCGAACGTTGTCGAACGTTATATGTAACCTTTATAATCTAATCTGATCTAATACAGTCACGGTCCAAAAGCAAACGAGCTGAGTAGCCACTTGTTGCTGATTTGCATTTAGGGCTGACACGTGATATATTGCTCGATGGGCACGTGCTGTCCAGTCCGAATTCAATAGGAACTAATGTGGATATATTGCAGGGCAATAAATGCCGCTTATTTCCCGGACTAACACAGCTGATGCGTGTATATTTCAGTAAAATCGAAAATAATATAACCTATACCCCTTTACCAAAATTCACTTAGCATGAAATTGTATATACAGGGCAAACCACATTTTACCAGCAGGGCTTCGCCTGTGATTTTATTCTGCATCCTGCATTATATTCTTATTTTCCATATACAAAGTGTTAAAAGTAGCTATAAATATCTATTTTTAAAGATCAGTTTATATTAAATAAAATAATTCTCCCTACCTTTCAATACAGGCAAAGTATTGTGGGCATAAAAAAAACCTTGTTAACTATAATACGACTTAATATCATTAAAAAATATTTATTCACATCTATTAATATTCTAATAATGTCTGAATCCCTCTCAATTGGCAGCTATATAGGTACTAAATAAAAATCCAGCAAAGTATGATTTATACATAAGTAGTCCCTTTGACATTCAAGGTCGGCTGTAAGGGCTTTAGGAGAGAGGCGCGATAGCGATAGCGTATTCATGAGGTGAATCAAGAAGTAAAGAAAGCACTTTGATTTTTACCCCCGCCGCAAATATAATATGAATATGGTTATGCGGCTCTAAGTGGGCCTCCTTAAAATGCATAGCATCAGCTCCGAACTTGCCGAACTAATCTCGAAGAAAAGGAAATTAATGTTAATGCCGTCGGAGGAACCCGGAGCACTAGCGACAATTCCGATACAGCCTCATTGTGAATATTAAAACCGGCAATATCTGGGCGACAGATAGATTTTAATAGGGAAACACCTATTGTCAATCAATTCGGCGCCAGAAGTCGAGCGAAAAGGGACCACCGGAGTATGTATAATCCGGCACTATCTTAGATCTCTGGAGATTGAACGCGAAAAGTGCAAGAGAGGAAGTTCCAAAGCTTTGAGGGAACTGGCAAATAATCGTCAAGAGAATCTAGTCAATAGACTATGCATATCAATAGAGCTTGCTCGTTCGATATCCCCGCCAAAAATCGTAGTCGAGTTACTTACGATACATAAAAATATATACTTTTCAATTACAAAATATTATTAATTGAATTATATGTAGAGTGTTCCCTAAAATTTCAGAGATATCTAAAAGTTTCCTATGCTTCCCTAAATTTTTTGAGTTATTTAGAAGGTTCTAAATATTTTTCAAAAAAACTACAAATTTGAAATAACTAAATAATTAATTTTTCGGTCCACCTTTATAGGAAACGATTTTTCAAACACAACTTAAGCAAAATACGTTTGCATTGAAGTACCTACAAATAAAAAAGTTAATTAAAAATTTGAGCCCGAGCGACCCGACTATATCTAGAAGAATGCATTGGAGTAAAAGTGTTAGATATCGGACAATCGGAAAGAGCTTTATTAAATCGTTCGCTTCTTCTGGCGGGCTTTTGTTGGGTGTCTAATAGGAGTGCGCGCCGGTATCACACGGTATCATCGAGTCCGGGGTATCAGCTCCCTCTGACATTGACAGCAATATCCGGATACACGTCAGTGAAAGGAAATTGTGCAATACAAACATTCGCTATTATGTCCATTCGTCAATCGTGGCGACCGATTTTCCTTGATTGGTATTTACTTACTATCTAATATTATATTCGAGATAATTTATTTTAAATTAGGCGCAAATCGACTTAGAATAAATACGGGCCATTACCATAATTTTCCTTTTCGAATTATTCCAAATGCTGGTCTAATAGAATTTCCTTCCCTTTCTGTTGCAAATGTTTTTACATCGACAGGCAATTAGACCTTAGAAATTGGCTTAGACCCCGAATTTTGTAAGTAATGTCAGGTAGTAAGGATTTACTGGCATAAAATCGAAGAAAAAATGTAGAAAATGTGCTCCATGGGCCTGGGAATGAGCTTTTTTGTAATTTTCTTTCGAAATAATTTCGTGCTAAGCATTTTAAGACAAGAGGGTTGCGACAGGAACGGCGTAAACGATTTTTTTATATCGATTCGTTTCAGAACCAGGAAAGTTTATAATTGTATATGCACATTTCGACTCTTCCAGTTTTGTTCTCCCAGCTTTTGTTAAGTTACCAGCTTTATTTTTTTTAAGAATTTTTTTATGTAATGGCAAAATTTATTCGAAATTTGAAATTTGTTAAAATGCATTAGTTGTATGATATTTTGATAATAACGATTAATACTTATTCATTATTATCTAATTATTTACTTTAAAAGTGACTAGATTAATTTGGAAAAGAAGAATAAATACGTATTATCCAAAATTTCCCTCATCAGGATTTCAACTGTCATCACATTCTATTCTAATAAAAAATAGTTGAATTTTCAATATAGTTGAAAATTGATTAGCAACTTAATACCTAAAAAAATATCAATTTATAAATACCTTTTTTGTTCTATCGGTTGATTTTTCTTCAACAACTTTATCATCTGAAACAAAGGAAATATTTAAAATATTTATTTTAAATGACTTATATGTGGAGCCGCATGGACCCGTCTCTGCGTTTTGGTCTTGGCACTAGTCCAGACCGAAGTGTATAAGAGGTTAATGTCTTTACGGGCTGCGAAGGGGGCAATCAGAAATTTGCAAGTCTGATTTTTTCAGTAGGGGCATGTTACTTGATTATTCTTTAAAACAGTAGATCTTTTACTCCCTTACCCTCACGAGTTGTACAAGTCATTGAGTCAAAAGTCCTTACGTTAATTTGTGAGTGTCGCAACAGCTTGTACTATGAATTTATTTTCAACACCCCTCGGCTTTCTTTTCTTCGAACGCTTATTTTTAATAGTTATTTACGAGTCGATTTCGCGCACGGAAATCAGCCGACGCGTTTATGACGGCGCGAACAGAATAAATTCAACCGATTATCTGAATGTATTAAATCATTTGACGTTTGCGTGTTAACCACCCTCTGGACATAATAACTCAGGCACCTGCTATAAATCCGCAGCCTCATTACTGGACTGTCCTTAATTGAAATCTCATGTTTTGTCAACCAGACCAAGAGAGCGGCAAAAGTTGTGATCCCTATATGTATTTCTCTCCGAAGACGGTGTTCCTCAACGTGGTAGCGTGTCCACAGGGAATTTATTAAAAGGAATTTCGCAATTGCCATTTAAATGCAAAATAAAATAAGAGTTGTAAAATTAAAAAAAAAATCGCTTCTCAAAGTGCTGCCAGTGAATTGAGAAAATTTAATTATGTAGGTATTTGCAATATTGCACTTAAACAAGCATGTATACGTACTTATCTCATTTCTTTGACTAATTAATTCAGCATATCGCAATGAATTATTACATAATGTAATTACCAGTTCGGTATTAGATTAATTAATTTATACAGTGCACTAATTAAATCACAATAAATATTAAAAGGAATATTTCATTGATAAACATTTACGTTTTTAGATTGATAAATTTACCGCATGAAATAAACAAAAGTATAAACAATTAAATTTCATACGCACTTATTCGCTTCATTATGGTGGCAACTCCACATATAGATAGACGATTTACATAAAATAGCATTAAAATCTTTTTGAAAAATAACAACCGGTCATTAAATTGTCAATGCATCATTCGTACCGCTTGAAATTTGTATTAATCATTAAACCATGTCGTTTTTTATTAACACACAAATCGAATTTATGCAAATCGCCGGATCGATTGATTCTTTATAAACGTACAAAAAACACCTTAATAATTTTATATCACGCTATGGCGACCGAAGAAAAAACCGATAGGTACGCCCAAGAATTCGCTCTTTTTTTCATTTCGAAAATTGGATAAGTGTAAACGAATCAACCATAACGCATCAATATTACGAATTTTATATGCCAATGGGAATGCAGCGACCGAAAAAGTAAAAAACTAAACGCAAACGTAACCGCTACAATTAGATTAGACAGAACCACAGAAACATTATTTCTATTTTCACGAGTCGGTGCCCAGATGTCTAGATACGTATTTGAACACCGAGTGTGTGTAAACTGGAAAAAAAAGCAAGTGCATTACCCTTAGATGGACCAACAAAGTCAAGATTATTACGATTACAAGAACTCTCGATTTAAGTAAACGGTATTACAGAGTGTCTCGAATAATTGTTTCAAATTTTATCCTATTCAAACTAAATATTCAACTAAAACTTCTATATTCAAGAAATTCGGTTTTACTAAAGGTATCTTTTTAATTGGTGTGTGGACGAAATGTGTCTAAGTAGAAGATAAATAAAAAGAGTTATTTGGAGTAGAAGCGTTTGTGTAATTTGGAGCATCCTGTAAAAGCGGCACAAGTTGATGCTGAAAGAGCTATGAGAGAGGTTAAAAGTGAAGGTCTCGGACATAGTTCTCATGCTGTTCATGCCATATTTTTATAATGCGTAACGAGTTGACCCGACTTACCTAACTGACATTAAAATCGTTTTTTATTTTTAATTAGGTATGTGAAAATGCCCCAATTTCCAAACGCCATCGTACGAATTTGTTACGCACTAAGAAAATGTAAAAATCCTGGTTTGTTCGAAATTGAACATTGAAAGTGACATATAGAAAAAACCTGTTGGGAAACAAGAAGGATATGACCGCAGTTATTTTGTATCATAATTCATTAAATTAAATTTGCAGGTTGGGTTTCAGCAGTAAATAAAAATACTCGCAACCTTGTGTAGGTATTATTGAATTTACTTGCAATTTCATGCATGAAAATCACAATCCTGTAAAACAATTTGGCCATTTTCTGTCTTCAATTTTGATTATTTTTTAAATCTGAGATAGGTGTACTTTAAAATAACAAATTTTTGAGATTTCCAGAGGTAATGTAATTTATCTCATCTACTGTTTTTGCTTTGGGAAATTCGAAATTGAATGTTAAATATTAAGTAAGACAATTTTGTGGGCCCTTTATAAAATTGTTTAACAGTGCGTCAGTGCACCTCCATATTGAGGTGCAAATTCTGAAAATGTTTTCCCATATATTTGAAAAAGTACAAATCCAGTTTTATCGATAAAATGTTTGATAATGAGGTCCACCTTATGCAATAAAGTTTCAGTCACAGCATCATATTAATAACGATCATAAAAAACAAGCCAGTGAGCGGTATCATTTGAAATGAACAGCGAGATATTCAAGGCAGCAGTGGGCGGTACGTTTATTGCCCCCCCAGGGGTATTTGTGTTCAATTCGAAAACTGAAACGCCGCCGATATGGGCTACTGTATACGCAACAGAGGCAGAAAAAAAATACCTAGTCACGTTAACCTGTTGACACCTTAATGTATTCAACCACTTTTTAAACGATCGTATCTTATTTATCGCATGCCTCGCGCAATGCTAATGTCGCGTTGCGGTTTGTTTAATCTCCCTCGAAAACTTCGTAAACCACATCGAATAGGCGAATTAATTTTCTAAGTGCGCATTTTTTCAGTCGCGCGCCTAATTGATTGGAATTGTTCTCGCGGTCGAATTTAAGTATCATCTTAAAGTAGCAGTAAAGCGTCGAGCGGGTAGCGGGCAGCCAATCAATAAGACGGACCGGTAACATATCTTGACGTTAAAAAGAAATCAACTTCTTTAATTCCATTGTAGTATAAAATTCATTAATCTTCGAGCTTTGAATAAACGAGGCTGCGTATAAAAATGACATTGTTTATCGGTGTGCGTTGCCTTCACTGTCCCGTCCGTTCTCCGTCAATCGGCTGAACCAGAGACGTCCACTGCTCAAAAATTTAGGAAACTTTTATCTGCTAATAGATTGTATTTTTTTTAATGAAACCAATTTCTGATCAAAACCAATTACATCATAACTTCACCATGTATTAATATTATAATAATGAATTAATAGATATAATAATAATTGCAAGGAGATAAAATGTAGTAGTTATTAATAGTTATACGTTTATAAAATTTGTAAGTAAATATAAAACGAAATAAAAGAGGTAAGTATTTATAATGGGTTGAAATTTAGCGGTGGCATTGATTTGAATTTAAAAAATGCACCGTCTCTGTAGACATACCAACGGCACGGACCGAAGAGCGGCTGTAAGAAAAGAAAGGACGTCGATGTCGTCGATCGGTGACCGAAGACTGAAAGCACCGTCTTCGAAGTTCGATGCCGAAGAAGTCAGTCAGAAGAGAATCCAACAGCTAGCAATCACCTTGATCCCAAGATGGACATGTCTGGTTGTACGCGCGCCGCGCCGTGTTGAGAGGAAAAGAGAACGACCGAGACCGGACGGTCCGTCTATGAACTTACCCCCATTGTCGGCTCTATACAGATGCTTTTTCCTCAATAAAAGCTGCATTCCTCTTTTAGTGAATAAAAAGTCGTTTCTTCAAGTTAGAAAAATCATCGAACGTTAAAAAGGCCTTTATGTTCAGATACTATTTCTGTCAAACGGCTATATACGAATAATTTTTTTATACTGTATTTATTTTATACTGTAAATTTCTTAACTAAAACGTTTCGATCGGCTTGCAGGAATGCGAAAAAATGCCGGTAACTCATTAATAACTTTTTCATATTCTTTAGTTTCCACATAATTCCCTCATAACATATAACCATAACAAAAAGATAATTTTATTTTAATTTCCCTCTATGTATCAATCTTTGAATAATGATTAAATTTTAATCAACAAATCAGTTTCATAATAAACTTTCTAATATATCAGCAAAAGTTTTAAATTTTTTCCAATAAATTATTAAACAAAAATTCTACCTAATATACTTATTTGACAAAATATGCAAATAACGGATCCGAAATGGCTGTGACCCGTTTAAAAATCGGTAAAATTAGTAATAGAGGGCTGACATCAGACGTTCGGAAAGCTTTTTTGTTCGTTCGTTCCATTGTTGGGGGCCCTAACGCCTTAAAAAATGACGGTGTGATATATTTGGAGGGAAGTCGCCTTTTCAAAGGCAGCGGACCCTTAGAATGCACATGTAGAGCAGCCTTTATTAGAAGAAAATTCCATTTAGGAGCAAATAACGGAAAATCTAAAACTCAGGTTTCTGTCACAGCGCGTTACGTGCCAATAATTCATCCTTTAAAGCCACTTTCTTCTCGTTTACTTCTTTAAAGCTGTCCGATTTAGAAGATTAACGCACTGGACGAATTTATGCAAACGAATTGCTTGCAATAAAACGCAATTTAGTCGTTCACCTAGCCATTAAGCAGAATTTTCAGTCGAAATCGATACGATTTAAATTGCGATTTTCTCAATACGTGGATATATCAGGCAATAATTCATATATTAAAATTCCGCGTTTTGTTAGGAAGCAAATGTGCACTGTTATGGAATAACGTGTTTTATTACAGTTTGTAACACTTTGCACCCCAGCCCGGCAGCAGAAAAGTATACGAATGAAATTTAACAGCAGAAGCTACGAGGCAATAGCAATAGCAAGCAGATGTCATATTCGAATATTTGTACTCCTGCAACACCGCCTCAGGCCAAGGGGGTAACCAACATTTTTTGTTTTCGTTCAACATAACTTTCAGGAATAAAATTTTTAATATATACCTTACGTCGATTTTTTGATGCTTTTATTGTGTATTTTTATTGGAAGGAAATCGTTTTAACACAAACTAATTTTGCTAACATTAGGTAAATATGTTAGTAATAAATTCATAATACATATTTGTCTGCAAATACGGCCAATATAAGGATTTACGATTAAACGTAAAGATGATATAGTAAAAGCGGAGAGATCAATCTCGTTGTACTCTTAGATATTAACTAGTGATTGTTTGGTTAAGAAATAGGGCTTTAATGAAAGACAAACAATAAAGAGAATGATAACAAACATCTTATTTCCACCTCACTTTAGTCGTAAATCTATTTTAGGAACTATCCCTACGTAATCAACGCATGCATAATGCAGTAGCCAATTTGTAATACAGGGCGTATGAAAATTCATGCAAAAATATCCTACATGATTTTCCTGTTTCACAAATAAATTGCGATTAAAACCGGAGTACTCAAATTTATGAAAAAGAATTTTAAACACAAATTTTAAGGGGTTAAAAACTCGGAATGGAGAGATTTGGGGAGATTTGGGGAGAAATAATTCCTTGTTAGCTTCAAAATACTTAGTATATCTTAAAAACGTAGACTGGGAAATAAAATACCAATTTTAGAAAGTAGTGAGAGTATTATACAATAGTAGAACATAGTCAGAGTGCGTTGGCATATCGACAGCAGGAGGCTCATCACACTGTCATTATGGCACGGCACCGGTTACGGTTTACGCCCGCAGAAGCATGTAGAATCGGGAATATCAGGAATAGGAAAGGTCCTTTCTCATTTATAATTCGGGACGAGTAGGGGCCGTTACCACCACATGCCCACTGATAACTTTACGAGGAGCACCACTTCAAACCACATGTTACACTTTGGATTGCTGCTTTATGCCCACTACATGACATCAAACTCACCCCTTTATCCCCTTACTTTCCTTTACAGTCGCGAACTGTTCACTTTGCATGCTACTTATTTGTATATACGTAGGTATTGCTCGCATCGATGGAATCGATCGTGTGACGATAACGTTTTTGCTTAGTTAAAAATAATAGGATTGAGCTTAGTTATGCACGATACATTGCTGTAATGTTTTATTTACGAGTAAATTTCTCGAGAGGAGAACTCTGAGTAATAAAACTCGAGAAAAGTCTGATAAAAATAGGCAATAAACAGGAGTTAGAGCGTATAAAGGTATACTTAATTACGGGCTAACGCACTACCCCTACACTTTTACAGCCTTTGAGAGCATATTGTAGTGAACAAACACAAGGACATCAACTTGATTCGCATATATTTTGCCCTGCAATGATATAACTTTTTTATTGGCTACTGCTACCAGGTAGAATTTTTTTACTGTCTTTAATACTTTTTTTTTTGGTATTCGGTAATTAATTTCAAATATTTGTTGCAGATATCGAGATGACACCCTATGTTGGACCGATAGGTAAGTAACAAAAATAGTAAAATTAAACAAACGCATGAACGTCATTAAAAACAATCTAATAAAATATTAAAGCAGGGTAAATATTAAAAGGGTATGGCGATGGCCGCAGTGTGTATCATAATCATACTTACGGTGCAGGATGTTCGGTGTTCGGTGAGCTGTTTTGATGCCGCCGTTCGAATTTTAGATCAATTTATTTTGAAGTAGCGGTCGGTCGAGTTTTTATTTTGTCACAGACATTATACAGACAGGTATCGATACTCGTTTCTAACTTTTTGTTTAGGTCGATGGATGTCGATTATGGGCTCGACGATTCTTGATTCAGCCGTTCTGTTCGCGTCCGACCGCTCTTAATGAGAATCGCAAATAAGAAAACAAAACCTTTATAAATTATCTCGAGTCGATTAGCCATCAACATCGAGCAACATCGGAGAGAGAAGAGAGAGTCTATCAACGTAAAATCGAAACCAGTTATGAAATAATCGAGATGATTACTGCACCGATGCTGGCAGATAATTTGCCTGAATAAATGATGTTCCGAAATGACCAGGTCGCGATCTCGGTCGCAATCGCCTCCCCAGTCACTGGCCAGGGGCGTATTTGTCACCGGGCACGTGCCATCAGCCCCCCTATATTTCCGTCTCATCAGTTTCCCCGAATCTTACGGCACGATATCTCACCCTTATTTTTTACCCATCATTTATTATCGAAAAATTCTTTATACCCAATATTTCTAACGCATTTTATTTCGAAACATTACTAAATATACCTAAGAACGACCGTGTAGACACCTATTAGTAGGAAAAAAATCTTAATTTGTTAATTTATATTGCAGTCAAATATATACCGAATCCTAAAAGAAAGAGACACAATGGAAATACTACTAAAGATTGCTCATTAAAACTCATGTATGTTGAGAATGTGGAAATGTAACTCAACTGCAGGATGCCGTCGCATTCTGTTTGCCTGCTGGACACAATAAATATTGCTTCTTTCTATTCAACAATACCTACCAACTCCAATGTGTGCGTTTTTTTCCAAAAAAATAAAATAAAAACAAACCAACAAAACAATAAAACAATCGCGAGATTTGTTTCCGATGACAAGACTGATCCTCCGAGATTATTCAAAGTATACAGCAGATTGAAGCCCTAGGAAAATAAAAAAGACGTTAAAAATTTTCAATTATTATCTGCGAGAGATTTTAATCCCAATAACCGCCACTTCGAAAACGAACGTCGATCGATCATCGCTGAAAATTATTCTGTCAGAAGAGCCAAACGTCTTTAAAACTAATTCCATCAGCGATTAGTGTTAACAGTGAGTAAACACATCAAATCAACATTGACATCAAGCGTATGAAACCATTCCCGCTTCGCATATCCCAATTAAAGGAGCAGTTATTAGAAGCAATAAATAAGAGTTCAGAAAATCAATGTTACTTCTCAAAACCAATTAGACCATAATGGGCAGTTGCAGATTGCTGAAGGTTGGTGACATATATGGAGTTGTATTTGTTTCGAGAATCGATTGGACGAACTTCTATATGATATTATCTACACACAGGTAGTAGTCGAAGACCGACCAAAGATCAACGACGGCTCGAAAACCATTGTCTATAGTACAGTAAAAACAACATCAACGTACAATAACTCTTCGAAATTCGCGACTACTTCTTATCCTGCATTACATAACAATTTTCGTGAATAATAAATTTCCCCCGCAAAGAATCACCGGCTAATACAACAACTTGTTCCGACACTACGCTTGATATGTTCTAACATTGTTACCGCACTATTAAAGCGTCTAATTCTGGAACTGGAACTTGAATCGGTGAAATCGCCATCGTGAGCGACGTCGACATCGACGGCTAGGATGAACAAACAGAAACAGTGGCCGATACGATAATATGAGATCGAGCTGAGCCAACCTTCAAGACCAGCTGTCTGGCACGCGAACAAAACGCGCCCTGAATCTCTAAGTTTATAAACTCTTACAAAATACTTATCAAATCTCTTGATTATATTGTATACAGATAAATGATCGCGCGCGAGATCGAACGACTCACGGAAGGAATCGGATAACTTTCGTTGACACGGCACTGTTCGCGCGATTAAATTAAAAATTATGGTCAGTATTTATAGATAATTTGTATGTGAGAGTTTCAATTTTTATTTCTTCGAAACTGTACATGATAGATTCGAAAATATTGATTTATTGATTAATATTGATTATGTTAATATTAATAGATTTTTTCTGCAGTTTTTCATTTCGAGTAGTCTCAAATAGGGCCGGGGTCGAAGAATAGTGAACCCCAGTTTTGTGGGAGATTTTAATATAAAATAGACAATTTTGGTAAAAAGATTTACTGTTTTTCAATAGAATATATGATTTAAAGATGATTTTAGAAATATTTTTAACAAGAACTTTTTATTTTATTCTTCCGGTGAACCACCTAGTATATTTGAAATTTAAAATAAAGCTCTAATTAATCTTGTAAGTATTAAATAATTTGTTAAATAAAAAGTAGCGATATTTAAAGGTGATCGTGAGTAAAAATCGGCCTGATCGATTCCACCGCTAATATTTACCAGTTAATTAAGCAAGCGGAAAAGTCGGCCGCCCCAAAATGGAACATCCTAGCCCTTGTGATGCCTTCTAGTCGTATTCACTGGATTGACTGCGCCCTTAATTACAACCGTTTCGCTGGGGTGTTGATTTATAGGCCAGTTAAATATCTCATAAACAGCACATGAGCACGCTGGAATGCCCGATGTCATATTTGATGGTCCATCGCACATTCTTGCCAACGTTTGCTGCGAATCTTATTTGTCTCCTATCCCCGGCGACCGTCTGCTTATATTTCTGTTTGCAGCGTATTTTTTGCATTTTGAGCAATTACTCGTCTTTCGGCTCGCTCATAATTTATTGCATTGCCGAGGCTCTCCGTATAGAGGGCATATTTCAGTTGGTATAACGGAAAAATGTCTTGCTTTTTAATAAAATACCTAGAATTCCCGCCTTTCATACTTTTATATTGTATGCTAATGAACTTTGTTTTATGTGACCCCCAAAGAATTATTAACTAAAATAATTGGTGCCACCTAAAGCTTATTTTCTGTATAACAAGATACTTTTCACCTAATGTAGACATTTTAAGTGTAATATAAATTCTACAAAATTTTATGCTTAAATTATATAAAAGAAATTGTGCCATCTGAAACAATTTCATTTATTTATCAACAATATGCAAATATTACTATAATTTATTATTCTTATAGGTACTATACAGTGGCGGCATTGACAGCTTATCTTTTTAGATTTAACATTCTAAACATAGAATTTACATTAATAATTTAACATTGAATATTGAATTAATAAGTTTAAGGTACAATAAATAATTAAAAATCGGTACTTTTAAACACACTGTAGGCGAGTTGAAAAAATCGCTTAGAGCTTTTCTATATATTCGAATTTCCCGAGTTCGCAACTCCGACCCGGGGGCGTAAGTAACGAGATGCGGATTTCTAATTAGAAAAAGGAAAAGCGGCGGGCAATAAAAACGTCGGAGACGAGTCGTAGCCGGATAACTGGATTTAAGGTGTAAATGCGAGCGTGAACATATAAAAATGCAACAAAGTAACGTTAATAATTGGAAAGCTCCTCGGCGGCGATTGCGGTGAGTTACGAGCTTGGCGGGGGTGCGTATGGCTTTTACCATAAATGTAACGATAATGACGGAGTTTTACTTCTTCTTGCCGGACGTATAGGCTATTGGTTACACCGCGCACGTTTGTTGCTAATCGGCCGTTCTGTCGTTCAGTCGAGATATTAATTATCACAATCGGACGTACTCCATAACTTACTTTAACTACCTTCGAATGAGAAGTTATTTCTTGAATGGTTGATTGAAAATTGAAATATGTATATCTGAATGAAACGACTTTATTTCTTATTTGCGTTATTAATTTTGGTTGTTAAATTTATTTTGAAAAAGTGAAACAAAGTTGAATAAAATAATTGTGTGGCCAAGTAAGGAAGGTTAAAGAAGAGACTTCCTTCACGTTATTCGTATTTATAGGTCAGTAAAATATGCAGAATTACTAATTTAATAAGCTGAAGTAATATTTTTTAAATAGTTTATTAATTATGAAATTTTTATTTTCAGGAAACCGTCTATGGAAGATGTAGGAAATGCTTCATCTGTAAATGCACGGTATGTTTAAAAATCTATTTTTTAAACTACGTATTATTGATGATCCCGAAATATTGCAAAAGTTTGAATGAAAATGTCCATTTAGAAAATGTCTACAATATGTTGCGCTGAAGTAGTGGTCATTCATATCATTCTCCTATCAAATTTTATTGAAAACAGATGGTCCGGCTACTTTGGTTTACCATAAAATTCTCATAATAGAACAATACGCCTGCTGTCAGGGGGCACTTTTATACATATACGACAGTATTGCAGCCTTTATTTACGCATTTTTTTAGAAACCGTTTAGAATCGCAAAAATTTCGAAATCCGACAGAAAGACTCGTTACCGGAGTACAAATTGGTCCATCAACGTCACGGAAAAAACGAGTACCTATACCCACCCAAACCAACCGAAAAATCTAAATGTCCGTATCAAGGACCTTAGATTCTGGCATTGTATCGGTTATCTGTTAACATTCCTTTGATTGGATCGCAGTTGAACAGACACATAAGAAGTTATTGGCTTCTGAAAAAATGCCGTATAATGGTTGTCTGGTTATTCTCGTCTCTCCATGCCGGTCTCTTGGTATCGAAAGTGACAATGTCCACGAGCGGCATAGTATAAGACGCGTGCTCAAGAATGGCAAACGAAAAAACACCAACAGTTCCTTCAAGAATGAAATAAGAAGATGCTATAATGGCTATTTAGGACTCGAAACTATTTTCGACGTTTTAAAGTTATTTATTCCAAAAATGGGATATACAGGATGTCGTTTAAACACACACCGTCCGAATTGATAATATAACCACTTATTTTTTATTGCAAGTGTTTTTTTTATAAAATTACAACTACAATAATTACATAAATAAACTCATAAAGTAGGTATATACAGTTCATAACGAAATAAAAAAGAAAAGCCGTTAATGCCCCTAATAGAAGTGTATAATATTAATTTATTGAAACAGTCCAAAGTAAAGATATATAGAAATGTAATAAAATATTTCCAATATATTACATTTAATTGAACTCTTATTGTTAGTTGTATAAGTGTTAAAAGAGCAAGTAAATATATAAAAAATGCGTAAAAAATATTAAATGATAAAATCGGAACAAGTATTTAAATTTATAATTCCACCTAATGACATATCTGTTGAATCGACCACTCGCGGTGCAGAAGGGCAAGGGCAGCCCGAATGAGGGAAAGGAACCCGAGAAGAAAGCACCCTTGATGCGACGTGTCGAATATAATATAGGGGGATGTTAAAAAATAGCATCTTAGCCAGTTAAACAAAACCAATAACGACAAAATTGGCCTGACAAGTAAGACAATATAAATCAATAGAGCAGTTTTATTGAAAGAATTGACGTATTAAGGCCCATTAAGATAAATGTTCTGTCAAGTGAGTTCGTTTATTAGTGGAACAATTCGAACGACAGGAACGATGGAATTGAGATTAGGTATTTGATGAGATGCAGAGTTTTCCTAGTCCAATGGGACTTTATTCTAATGACTAGCTTGTCTTGAGCTCCGCTTATAATTAAGACAAACACTCGTGGGACTTTAGACCTTTCTGTATTTGCCTTCGCTCACTTTATTACTGTTCCTTTATCAAGTTTTTTCAGTAATTAATACCACCGTTCTGCACGTATTGCGTGGCAATCACGTAATTAGAATCTTCAGGAATTTTGTGTTATTTTTTTTATAAAAGCATTAGGTAATGATTAATGATATAGGTAATTTAAAGTTACATTGTAGTCGATTTGTTGCGAATTAGGTCTCGTTTTAATTTTTGTAAATGTCGCCCTCCTTATCGGTACGAATCTAAATCGACTGCTGTTTAAGTCAGTCTGCATAGTGTTCTTAACCCCTGTTTTCTATAGATAGGGTGAGAAAGGCCATTTTTCTTCGCTGCGCTGTATTTTTAATTATCTGCTCTCCAGCGAAATTTTATCATCTGTAAATTTTACGAATGAAACTGTTTTTTTTCATCTACGTTCATTGAGGAACGAAAAATTAACGAAAGCGTTCGCCTCAATGGGGTGTTTCACTCTAATTAAAACGAGTTATATTTTTTACTACCGGAAGGGTATTTCGTAATTTGTTTCCTCATGTATTTGTACAACTGGAAATTTATTACTTATAAGAGAATAAGATCGAGGAATTTAAATTAACACAATTTGTTTAAATCTCTCTCTCCCCTATGAAAAGAAAAAATCGGTAGAAAAAAAACTAATCGTGAAATATTACAAGTCATCGTATCGATGACATTTCTATGCATTCTAAATTCGGTTTATCAAGTGGTTCACGTTTTACGTTCTCCCGCACACGACCCCGTCGATACACATGCACACACACACACACCCATATACGTCCATTTATAAAGATTGATCCGCAGTCATAGACATAACCATTCGTCAATTCCTTACACGGTCTATTGCATCATTTATGCTTTAAAGTCCGTTACACCGTGCATTTACATTAAACATTTATGTACTCTCTTTCGAACTAAAGCCCAAATCTAGCCACTGAAACAGGAAATATTGACTAGGTGTTGCTAATAGACACTTTTATTCTCGGTAATGGCAATCGGACGCGAGCTTCTACAGAATTGAGCACATAATTCTTAACCAACTCGAAATGCCTGTTTAGCGGCACAGCCGATGCCTCATTAATTAGATGTAGGTAAGCACGAATTTTAAAAAATTACTCCAATCGAGATGGAATTTATTGCATAAATATTTCTTCTTTATATTATGTAAATAGTGTCGCTGTATTTAAGTTGTTACGGTAGATGGGTTGGCTCATATTCTGACAATAATATATAAGACACTAAAATACCCTAAACCATCGGTGGGGCCCCTTAAATGACTATCATTATGCAAATACGTAAGGGTTCATACGCATATAGAGCTAAATGCCTGAGTTTTGCCAAGTCTATTGAATATAATCTTAATTTTGTACTTACTTCGAATTCGTGGAATAAAAATCGTATGGATTGCGGGGAAATGGATTTATTTCCTCTCCCTTCTGTCTATGAAAACGTGAAATACATTTAACCGAAATTAAACAAGGTTTGACAAAGGGTCGAGGGAATTCGTTGCGGACACTAGTATTATTTCAGATTAATCCCTACATTGGTCACGGGTCTTAGTGTGAGATTTGTTTTTTAATGTTCCACGCCGGTTTCCAATCAAATCGGGCTTACAATACATATAACAAGATGTATAACGAAATAAAGTTTAAACGTACACTGAAAGCTGTGTTAAATATATAAAAAGCATACTATAGTAACACTCATCAATGTTCTATAATTTACTTTGTAGTGTGTACAGTTTCTTCAATCAATTATAAAAGATTTAAAAATATTATTTAGGGTATAAATAATTTTTCCCAGTGTATAATAAAATGGTCATTCTATTTGTATTTCATGGGGGCAATACTGCCAAATGTTTGCGGATATAGGAATTGGAATGACTCATTGTCCTGTTAATCCTTTGGATATCTAACTAATGAAACCTTGCTTTAACCTACAAGCTTTGTATTATTTATGACCTGTATTAGAAGGACAATAAAGAAAGGAATTCTAAGTGAGTGCATTTTTGACGAAATTAAAAAATTGCACTTATTTCGTTCGGGACGCGATGCCCTGCGTCTCTCATTCTATAAGGTGGCCTTCGAAATGCTTGAAATTAAATGTGGAGAAATTGGTATGCAGATTGGCATCTTCCGAAACGTGCGGTAAAATTTATTTCTTTGGATAATAAGAAGGAAGAATTGCACGAAGAAGATAATGAAAGGGTGTTTCGGAACAATAGAGAGATGGTCTCTGTTATTCGAATGCATCGATTTTTTCATTTTCCCTGCTGTTTCAATTTATTTCTAAGACATTTAGCACGGTACTGGCGCTGGAGAAACCGCGATTTTTAAATTCTCTGGAATTTACAATTACTGAGCGTTTCCTGATAGGTTTTTAAAATAGCTTATGGTTAGAGGTATAAATAAATTTTTGCGTGTAAAAAGGATCCGAGGAACAGGAATATGATCTATGGCCGAATCAAAACGGGATCCCTTCTGGAGATACTATTAAAAAATCGTTCGACAGAATGTGGAATGTATTTTCCAGGGGTGTGAATCTGTTACGAAAATATCGCAGGTTGTCCTACATGCCAAAAGTGAGGGACCGTAGAGCCTTAGGGCTTGAGCCGACAGCCGGTGGCCGAAGTGGGTCCATCCGGCAATATGTTAGCTCCTATAAATCATTGTTTAGGATGACTAACAGCTTCGTACGACGCCCTTCTTTTCAGAAATATGATGTAATTTATATGAAAATGCATCCGAATCTCTGTCATTTTGAGATATGAATGAAAAATTTATCCGAGTCCGAAGAGGAAATACCGCGTGCCTTCGAAGATAGCGGAAAGGCTTCTAATTTGCCAATCTCCTATCTCCCTCTTGCTGATTTTGACTAAGAAATTTCCTGATTTATGGAAGGAATTTTCCTTCGCCGGTCAAATACGGGAAAATAATAGGGATTTATTTCTCATTTTTCCTACAGATTGTATTTCGTATATATTTGATCCCAACGCTCTGGACGAAATATCCATCATTCGGACTATCATTTCTATACTACCAATTTAAACTATATATCACTCTAAAAAACCGTATCCAAATAATAATATTAGAGACACATTTTTTTGGTATAATATAAATTATTTACCAACAATATTCGGGATTGATCTACTCCTAACCGCGAATAAAAAAATCAAGGAAAAGTGGAACGTAGATATATTCGACTGCATCTGTACAAATTGTGGAGTATTCATAAATACCGAATATGCCACAATAAATTGGCAGTCTTGTCAGTTCCGGTCCCCAGACGGTCGTGATCGTGCATCTCCAACAACTCGGGCCTTGGCTAGAGAGATGAGCAAAAATCACATTGTGTACCTTAGGCATTATTGATTACGTCAATAAAAATATTTGGTTCACCCTCTTGCAAAAAATATTATTCAAATCAAGTGTTTAAT